CTTTCCCTTTCTTTTCTCTTCCTTTCTTGACAGGGCCTTGCCATCTTGATCCTCTTACCCCAGCCTCCCCGCTGGGATTACAGGTGTTCTCCACTACTCTCAGGCTCTTTTCAGTTAGGGTCCTACTGCATTGTCTAGGCCAGCCTTGAGCTCCTGCTTCTCCAACCTCAGACTCCCTACTGGGCTTACAGGTGTGCCCAGTACACCTGACTGTTAGGTTGAACCGGGAATGGAATCAGGGCCTCTCATGTGCCCCAGCCTGCAGACCACAGTGTCTTAGCAATGTAGGTCACTGCAGCTGGCCCTACTATGACTACTTCCCACTGAAATGTGAAGAATAAGAGCCGAACCATGAGCCCCTACGCCAGTCTCCCTGCCTCTTAGTGCTGCATCTCAAACCAAGAGCATCCACACAAAGCCATGAGGGCTACCGCTTCCTCTCTGCAAACCTCGTTGGTCTCTTATTTATCCTCTTAATCCTATTGAAGCTTGACACGTTAGATTTATGAAATAGCTCTGATTTGAATTCTGCAAAGATTAGGAATGCAAAATAAGGACTACTAGGTCCTTCAGTAGTCAGGTTTTGTTACTCAGCGGTTCGCTCAATATTCAGTATAGTTTTTTTCAATTTATCTTGTCCTGAAACAGGGGAAAACAGCAAGGCAATAACATGACTATGTGCTTTTGCTATTGACATAATATTTATGTATATTTATATAGAAGTTATCAGGAGACCTCTGAAAAATTGCAAAATGTGAACTTTGTGTCAGGGCATTTCCTGTTTTTTACGGAGATGGAGAGCCATCTAAGAGAGTACGTTACTCCCGGGACGGTATTGCTTTGTTTTCTTTTGTTTTATCATCTTTCAGTTTAAACTCTGATGCTCACAGTGAAAGTTCAGTCCAACAGTTTGTCCTCTCTTATTCATTCCTGTCTCTTCTCTCCCTCCTTCCTCGGGTCCCCCACTCTCTCTCCAGTGGTTCGTGCTTTTCCTGGGAGTAAATAGTGGATGTTCCATGGATTCACATTGAGCTTGGGGTATGATGCGCTTGGGTGTGCGCTGGCTGCAATTCCCTGGCAGTCATAAATTAATTAAAAGTAGACAGGAACCACAGAAAAAGAAAGTTCTCCCTTTTCTCTCCCTCCCTCCCCTCCCTTCTTTCTTTTTCCACGGGTAAATAGCTAGTTCCTTTGTTCCTGGCTGCACTATTTCATTTCTGCCATCATTGTCCTCATTGTTCTCGGAAACAGGAGGGGTCTGGGCCAGGAGCAGCAAGGTCTCAGCTAATGACGGGAAGTCTTTAAAGTTTGCGCTGCATTTCATCTTCTCTGTGGGAGTTTTAGGACGTATCCAGTGTTTGATCCCCACCGCGCAACTTTGCTTCTAGTTAATTAACAGATCCCCCATTACACACTCTCATCTAGAAGCACATGGGAGGCCTATTGGGAGGTAATTCAAGGCCAATCCAAGTGATGGCAGGAATTAGAGAAATCAGTTGTTTTAGGGCTAATGTTCAGGAAATAAAGATGTCCCATTTTAGAGAATCTCATTTGAAATTTGTGATTATTTCTCTTTTCTATGAAAAAAAATTTTTTTTAAAAAAGATGAGAGAACTGTTTTGTCCACAAAACCTAGACATGACCACTCTGGGCAGTTTGAATTTAGAGCTCTGTCTAACTGCCAAAATCAAAATAAAGAGGAAAAAGAAAGACAACGTTAGGAGATGTAGCAATGTTAGCAAGAATTCCGCTCTCCCTTTTATTGCAAGCAGTCGCTTTTCTGCCCAGCTTATTAGCTAGGTCACAACTGGCCACAGCAACCTTTTCAGGGCACACGAGGCAGAATGGCAGGCAGGGACATCTCAGCTCAGCCATGGCTCATTTTACAGCCCAAGCTAGATCATTCTTTGTTCTTGCGATGTTTTTCTTCCAAGGGTGTTGGAGTGATTTACAAATAATAAATACCGGGTCTCAGTATGCAGAGCCCCTCCCCTTCCAGCCTCTTTCCAGATGAACGTTGCAAAGTAGAGCGAACTTGTCCAAGTTAGAAGTTGGCCTGCGCGTGGCAAGAACAGAGCCCTCCTGTTTAGTGAAGTCGCTCTCCCCGCCCACAGGTAGCTCAGGTTTTGATGGCATTGGAAAGGGGCCTGCCTTGTTCAATTTTTATCCTTGTGCAGTTTCCCCAGCTCTCTGAGCAATGACCCCCTTTATCTAATGAATTAGGAGCTACTTCTGCCTTGCAATTCTCAGTTCGACACTTGGCAATGAGAATCAAACCGGGGCTATTTAGTGCAGCAGTAAATGGCCCGCCACATTAGCCCCCTGGCATGCTAAGCTATTAGGTTGTTTTACTGTTGTTAAAGTTACATTTGTTAGGTGGAGTTGCTGCCCTTCCATACAAACGCAGCAGTGCCTGATGCCGGTGGAGGCAGCACGTGTACAAAACGTGTGCTGTGCCGTGCCGACCCGAACGGTCAGACGGTGTGGCTGTGCTGCATGCCAGGGGCATTCGCCTGCCTGCAAAAGAAAGAACACGGATGGTTAGGGTTTGAAGAGAGGGCGTCTGGACCATCCTG